CTGCTCAGGCACAGGGAGACAGCTCAGGGGGTAAGAGTGCATGGAGGGATAGATACAGGGAAGCAGTACCTATTGGGAGGAAGTGGGAGAGGAGATGCTGCATTGTGCTAAATTGTGGTCAATGTCATGAGACAAAGTCTATGTGATCTACTGTATGGAAAGTGAATTTGCTCTGTAAACCCTCACCCAAATCACAATAAAAAAAAAAAAAAATCTTTTGCTCATGGGCAGCACAGAAACAGACAGCAGGCTGGATCTGGCCATGTCCTGATCTAGACTCTCAAGTTCACATTCCTACAACTGGGCCATGAAGTCTCCCAAAGAGTCATGGATATGTGGCATTTAGACCAATATTCACTTAACAATCAGGTAAGAAATAATTACTTTAGCCTACTTTAGCCAACTTGAAAAAACATAAGATCCTCAAGATGTCAAACTTTCAACAGAACGTATGCCTGTCTTACCCACAAAAATAACGTCACCCATCACCCCTCACCACACATAATTAGCAATTTATGAAGCAAGAAACTGTTGGCATTTGTCTTCATAGATGAAGTCAGCGTGGTCTGATTCCTTTGCCAAAAGGCAGGGAAACCATACCGATGCCTCCCTCCTTGTGCTGTCCAAGGCCAGCTGCTTCAGGACGACAGAGGACATATTTTGGCTTTCCCGTAGACTTTTAATGGGGAACATACACCACACTTTAAAGAAAATAAAAATAATTAAAAAGAAAAAAGCAAGAACCTTGGGTTTTTCTATTTTTCACTGACACTCATTTCGTAGCAATGTTTGAAACACTTTAAGTCTACATGTCTCTATGGAAACCCAAGGGAATTCGTATTTTGTTGCCAGATGACTACCTGCCCAGCCCTTCATATTCCACTGGATCACCATAGGCCATCTGCCATACCCAAAGCATCTTAGACCTCTTTTCCCAAAACCCCACCTATGAGATATAATCATTAGCTTTGAAATCAAAAGGGAAAAAAATTTAGTTCTGAGGCTTCCTTTGAATTTCTATTAAAACATCCCAATTTAAAATACTCTTATTAGCAAAAGGATTTTGTAACTTTTGGCAGACAAAATAAAAGAGGAAGAATACAATCACATAATTCAACAGCTACTTTGAAATTAAACTTTCCTCCTCTCCTTTCCATCAGCAAATACATATTCTGTTAAAAATCTAACAATTGCTCTCCACAGGCTGCTTATTAGCTGCAAGGGAGAGAAAACAAACCAACAAACAGTGATTATGCAGTGAAGAAACCAAAGGACCTTGACCAGGTGACCACCATGAACATGACCGGTGAGGGACAGATGGCCATCATGTGCTACCACACAACTGTACGGTTGGCAGGTTCTCAAGAAGAGTGTGGTGTCCCCTAGAAAGCATCACCTGAATCTAATCATGAGAAAACATCAAAGTAATCCAAAGTGAGGAACAGTCTATTTTTTTTAAGTGTGTAAGGGAGACTCTATTATTTTAAACAACAGTGTCATAAAAGACATAGAAAGTTTGTGGAAATATTCCAGATTAAAAGAAGCTAAAAGCACATGATCACTAAGTGCAATACTTGACCCTGGAATGGATCCTGTATTGTAGCATAAATGTACAGGGTGTTATTGGGTCCACTGACAAGAGCAGGATACAAAGGTTCTTTAGATAAAAGCACTGAATCAATGTTGAATTTACTGAACTCAGTAACTGTACTGTGATTACATAAGAGTATCCTTATTCTTAGGAAATAATGAAGCATTTTGGTGAAGGGCCATATTGTATGATGTATGCAACTTACTAGCAAATGGTTCAGGAAAACAACTGAGAGAGAGACATTAAGCATGCAAATGACAGAGCAAATGAGAAAGCTGAAAGTGTAGGACGTCAACAGCAGGTGTTAACATTTAAAGAGTAAAAGGCGTTTCTGTGATTTGTATTTTTGCAATTTTTCTGTAAGTTTGATACTCTTTCCAAGTAAAAAGTTTAAAGGAAAAAAATTAACAGTTCTTACCTGCACTGAAGTTCTTGGCTACCTATTTTCTCTCTGTAATGTTCCAAATATAACACAGGAAGAGATGCTTGTGCCAAGTAATAAAAAAGCGCAAAGATATTTTAACATGATCTGTTATCAGTGATTGAAGCCTGCCAAAGCATTACACACCACCCGTTCTCAGGAGAGTCCAGGGCAAAGACTCTGTACAAAATAAACACTGGATCCTCTAGCAACACTGATGCAATGATTCCCCCTAATTGCTCTAAATGAGGCAGTCACTCCATAACCTTTCTGCACCCCACCACTTCCAGAACTATCTTATCCACAAGAGAAGTCTCTTAGCTGGTTTCTTGGGCACTATCGGTATCAATAAACTGGATTCAAGCTTTTGAACTGGGATTGTTTTACTAGCTTAAGCCATTTCTAAACAGCTGGGGAATACAGCAAACAGGAAGCTTGCTCACCTCATCATATACACGTAATTCCTCACTACCTCTTCCAAACTGCTGTCAGAATTCAGTAACCTTAAAGTCTATGATTCAACCACGGGGATAAAGACGTCCTATTTGGCAGAGGGTGAGCAAAAATGATGGCCCTCAATAAATGGAGTGACACAAGGACCACAGGACTGGACTCAACACACTAATGATCATGACAGTGGCACAGGGCTGGGCAGCATTCCACGCTTTATACACAGGGTCACCATGCCTGAGTAGGAGCTGACCTTACGCCCACTAAAAACAAAGCCTTTGATGAATGGTCCTGTGTCACCAACAGAGGTTCTGGCTTGTAATATGAGATACACTGTCTCAACTGAATGTCTTGATTCAATCTGATGTTCCCCAAAAGTGTTAAGTGAATTTTGAGACCAAAAATACAGGAGAGATTTTATATAATCCAATCACTGGAGAGAAGATCAAAAATGTTGTAAACTAAAATCAAATTGTTCGGCCACATTTAGGAATCAAGGAAGATTTGCCCATTCCCCAAAATACAACAAAGGCAGGACATACTGATATTGGCAAGGTTTTTTTTTTGTCCTTTCCTGTTTATAGTTTTATTAGTTTCTAGATGTTTTCAGCAATGATTGTCTCTGAGCTAAAATACCTCTATACTATTTTTGGCTTTTTATTCTAGATCTTTTCCTTCTTATTCATTTTTTCCCTAAACTTCACATATATATATATACATATGTCTTTAAACAAATGTTTATCATGAACCTACTGTGCAAAAAGGGCTCAGCCAGATTTACCGGGTGGTACTCTATAAACATTCCAGGTTGTCTGTCCTACAAATAATCCCCAAGAAAATTATATGAAGATGATAAATGCAATTCACTCAGCTTGCAGAAGCATAAGGAACCAGAAATGAATTATGATCATGCAAAAAGGAATAAACTAGTCAGAGCACTAAAATTTAATGAGGATAATTTTTAAAGTAGGTGAAACTGAAGAGAAGGTACATTATTGTAGATTTAAAGTCATGCATATTCTTCTCCTCCATAAAACTTCTCAGAAGCAATTAAAAACACACATGCACAAAAACCAAGCAATTATAAATCTTCTGAAGCATGAAACTGTGATTAGCTGCTACTCTCAGCAATATAAAAATACTTTCACCACAATTACATTCCAGCCTGTAATGTAATTCAAAACAAACAAGTCAGAGACATCGCGCAAATGGCAGAACCAAGAAATACAGATGCTTTGCATCAAGTAAATGAATCCACTGAAGCAGTGCAGTTGCGGAGTTAGGGGCCCGCCAGGGCCTGGAGCGGGGTTCTGGTGGAGCAGCAACGCCCTCTTCTGGGCAGGGACACACAGGGCGCCCCCGCCTGCCTACAGAGCTGCATTTTTCATCAGCGCCAACCTTCATGCACCCTGGAACGTCAGGATTCCGGCTGCAGACACCTTTTCCAGTGTTGTGGTCAGTTAAATTTTAGAATTCTCTGGAATTTTTTTTTTAAAGAAACAACAGGATTTGGTATCAGATTAAACTGACCATTCTATTTAATAATTCTGCAAACTAGCACCCCCAGCACCAGCTGGAACTCCCAACCTCTTTACCCTGCTGATCTTTCTCCTTCTGCATTAACTCTTATTATCTTCCAATGTACTGTACAATTTATGATGTTTATTGTCTGTCTCCCCATGCTAGAATGTAAGCCCTATGAGGGTAAGGGTTTTTGCTTTGTTCACAGACCATGAACAGATGAAGCCTGGTACAGTATCGTGCTCATAAACAAATAACAAATCATCCCACTTATGATTTTATCATTTATTTTTAAAACTATTCATCTTCGAAGAAGGCATAGCTCAGCTCATTGTTGTCCAGTCGACTCTGACTCATAGCGACTCCTCCTAGGGTTTCTGAGGCAGTATCTCTACGGAAGTAGGTTGCCCAGTAAGGTCTTATTACAGCAATATACTAGGATTTTAAAATGATGCTTAAAAACTTGGTGTCAGAGGACATTTTCTTGAAATGCTTTGTGAAAGCAAATATCTCTTCAAAGGACCGCATAATAATAACATATGCGTCAGGCAACTCATATACAATGAAGATCGAAAACCTGGGCTGCGACACCCGAGGAGAACGCAGGGGCTATGAAGAGTGAGGAGTCCCTTCTGCCCTGGAGCATGTGTGCCCAGGGTGGCATGCTCCAGTCAATACATAGCGTGCCACTGCATCCGGAAAGCCAGCACTTCTGTGCACAGGGCAGTGGTTTGGGCAGGAAGGGCACGCACAATTTGTTAATTTCTAAAACCTCAAACTTTCATTTTTCCCCCACTTAAAACGCTCTTCCAGCTTGTGGAAAAGCTAATAGTAGTTTACAGTTGTCAGACTTTTAACAAGCGCTAATTTGTTCCCTTCACAGAGAAGATGATGAAAGGCCATTTTCCCGCTTATTAACAACATATAATCAGGGGATTCAAGGTCAGTAACGGCTTTCGGTACAAGAACTTCACCACCCAGGTCACTCTGGGGCAGCAGGCTTTCATCGGAACAAGTTCAAGATTTTTGACATTCCTTTTTCCGAACTTTCGATTTTGGAGCTATGAAGAGAATAAGAAAGGGAGACAATGAAGAGGTCGTGTCAGGCTCTCTCTATACTGGCTGCTTTATGAGATACACCAAGCACAGTAGGGAAAACTGACCATTTGGGTTTTCTTGCTTGTAGAAGGCCTTTAACATTTCCACTGCTTCGTCAGCCCGATATCCAGGAATGCACTGATGAAAAAGATGAGAATGCAGGCCTGTGAAAATCTGTGTCGCATCCATTAAAACAGCAATACAGGCATAGGAATGACATAAACAGGCTTCAGACAATGCTAATACACTCTGGGGATATTGGGAACACAGGTTAGGGAACAAATTTCCAAAAGAACAGGTATACTGCCTCAGTCAAACCTCACTCTAAATCAACTAATTGTGAATCTACTACTATGCAGTAGATTACTAGCTATGTGATCTTGGGGGAGATGCTCAATCTCTCTGTGCCTCAGTTTCCTCATGTGTACAATACAGGAAAGAGCCCTCACTTCACACAGATTCTGTGACGATTAAATGAGATACCAAAAACAAGCCAAACCTGTTGCTGTTAATTCTGACTCACAGTGACCCGATAGGATGGAGAACTGCCCAATAGAGTTTCCAAGGCTAGAATCTTTAATGGAAGCAGACTGCCACATCTTTCTCCCATGGAAGAGCTGGTGGGTTCAAATCGCCAACCTTTTGGCTCACAGCAAGCATTTAACCACTGCACCACCAGGACTCATGAATGAGGTAAGACTTACTGAATATCCAGTGCATTGTAAGTGCTCATTAAGCATTAGCCATTAACTATTTACCGGTTATGCATCAAGTGTTCCAAGCTACAGAGTCCGGCGTGGTACACTACAGCTGGTGGGGCAAATCCAGTCCACAGCTAGGAATGAGTTAAGAATGATCTTTACATTTTTAAAGTGTTTTTAAAAACATGCACACAGAGAAGAATGTGCAACAGAAACCATTAAGTGGCTCACAAAGGCTAAAATATTTACTATCCCTTACAGAAAAAAACTGTCTATCTCTGCTACAGTATTTTTTTTTTTAAGTGTTCAATTTGGTCTATCTTTGGGGCCTAACTGCAGAGAGAAATCAACACATGTGAGAGAATAAATAAGAAATCATGACGTTATATGAAATATTAGATGGAGATACAATGAACTCACCTTAAAGACAGAGACTATTAAAGAGGCAGAGGTGAGCATCTCAAAGAGGAAAAACAAACGTGGCCTGTGTATGAGACCAGCCGACTGAGGGGTGAGGTGATTCATAAGAGTATAAAGAAAGACACTGAAGAGAGAAAATGAGGACCAAATACATGGGGCCTTGCAGGCTAGTCAGAAGTGTTTGGAGTTGATGCCCTCAAGACTCACGATTCAAGAAAGAAACTCCCTCTGTCCCAGATGGGGCTCCACTCTCCTCTGCTAGTGTTCCTGGCTCCTCCCCTCCACTTATCTACACGCAGTGATTGCAGGAGGCCTGGCTCCTCCCCTCCACTTGTCTACACGCAGTGATTCCAGGAGGCCAGGCTGGTTGCACTCTGGGACATGGCTCAAAATGAGCCTCTTCCTCTTGCCTTCAACCTGCCCACGAAGCCTGCATAAACCTTTCCCATGTGAACAAATGCCTTCCCTCCCACTCTGAATCCCAGGTAAGCTGCTACCCAGGTCTTCCCTGAATAGGAACACTCCAGACTGGTACCCTTCACTTCCACGGCTCTCAATTCCTCCCCAACCTCATCCTCACTGGCTCTTGCTCCCCGGACTCCATGAAAGCTGCCTTCCGAGAAGCCCAACAGGCCCCACCTGACCAAACACTGGTCCTCTCCACCAGTCAACCTCAGCAACAGCGGAGACTACTGAGCACGCTAGCTTCTTTTTAGAATGCTCTCCTCCCTTGGCTTCTCAGTACTCCATCACCTGACCATCACTGGACAGTCTTTCACTAGCTTCTCTTCACTTCCAGTTGCAGTCAGTGGATCCTACCTTCTCTCTCTCTCTCTCTCTCCCTCTCTCTCTCTCTCTCTCTCTCAAAAACACCCACAGGCATACTCAAAGCACTGTCCTCTCAAATGGAGCGAGAGCAATAGCTCTCAACTTGCCTGCTCACCAGAATCACATGGGAGTTCTCAAAAAATACCAGTGTTCACGCCTCCCACTCAGATTCAGTCAGTCTGAGGCAAATGTGTAAAAGCTCTCCCAATGTTTCCTAGGTGTAGTCAGGGATGAGAATTACCAAGGCACAGGAGAAGAAGGACATGCCATCTCCCTGTCTCTAAGATACCAGGGTAATATTTTCAAGTATTCATTATAGCTACACAATTGAGGCTTGCATAAAAAGCATACATTCTTACTAAAATAATAAATAAAAGAACAAGTATGTACCATAAATTACTATCTTTTTTGAGAAGAGCAGTTCTATAGGTCTACTCTATGAACTTTAATGTTGCTTATATTGGGGGGAAAAAAAACTTTTGCTGTCAATTCAATTCCAACTCATCAGTAATTCTATAGGACAGAGTAGAACTGCCTCATAGGGTTTCTAAGGCTGTAATCTTAAGGAAACAGACTGCCACATCTTTCTCCCACAGAGTGGAGAGCGGTTGGTGCTGACCTTTCGGTTAGCAGCTGAGTCGTTAACCACTATACCACTGGGGCTTCTGCTAACAGTATTTTTTAAAAATCTATTAATTCTGCAATAAAAACCAGCATCCCTCTTTCTACTCCCATACAGCCAAATAAAGAAAGAAGACACAGGTCCAGAAGCCTCGGATGTCACTGTTTTCTTTAGAATCTCAAAACACCTCAAAAAACATAATTTAAGGAATGGATAACCAAACTATGGTACATACACACAATGGAATACTATGCAATGCTAAAGAATAATGTAGAATCTGCAAAACACCGCATAACGTGGATGAACTTGGAGGACATTATGCTGAGTGAAATAAGCCAGTCACAAAAGGACAAATATTGTATAAGTCCATTATTGTAAAACTTAAGGAAAGGTTTACCTTTTGGAGGAAATTTTCTTTGTTGGTTACCAGGGGTGGGAGGGGAGGGGAGGGAACGCTGTTAGATAGATAGTGATAAATATTGATTTGGGTGAAGAGAAGGGCAATGTACCAAATGGGAGTGACCAATATGGCACCACTGAGGATGAGAAAGACATAGAGAGGTACATGGGAAGTACAGACAACAAATATGAACCCTTTTGCATATACAGTACTGAGCTGTCAGTGAAGGCAAACAGGGGTATATGGACGGATAGATAGGTGGACAGGCTAAACAATTAGGTATATCTAAATGGGGAGTGTATCCAAGATCATATATAGGGTTGGCAGACAATGGTCCTATAAGTTTATGTGAGTGATCAGAATTCCCAGGTGTATAGTAGAGCTGATAAGGGGCAAGGTTATGGTCATTGCTTAGTCACAGCCAGCTACGCAGAGGGACCGAGTAGTTGATCCTGCAGGCTTGGGACCATAGTCGCAGGGGATATCAAGCTCAATTGGCATAACATACTATACAAAACATTGTTCCACCTCCTACTTTGGCGAGTAGCGACTGGGATCTTAAAATCTAGCAAGCTGCCATCTAGATGCAACAATGGGTGTCTCCTCGTCAAGAAGAAAGAAGAAAACCAAATGAATGGAAACAATCAGTCCTAGTGACTGGTACACCATCTGATCTGCAACCTATACAACTATGAGACCAGAAGAACTAGATGGTGCCCAGCTACCACTGTCATCCACTTGGAAGGGATGTACGAGATCCTGCATAGAGAGGGAGAGCAATGTGGAACAAAACTCAAAATCATTTGGAGGCAAAAAAAAAAAGAAAAAGAAGGTGGGGACCAGGTTTGCTGGTCCAATAGAGCCTGGTGAAACCACTGAGACTATGGCCCCTAGCTGCCCTTCAGGTCTGGAATTGAACACACACCTGTGGTTTCCAGCCAAACAAAGAACAGGCAAGTGAGTTAAACATTTACCTCAAGTAGACACACACCCTGGAGAGAACAATCATGGGAGAAGGAAGGGCTGCTTATGCACGGGGAGACAGCTCAGGGTGCAGAAGAGTATGGAGGGATGGACACTGGGAAGAGGTAACTATGGGGAGGAGCGGGAGGGGAGCTGTTGCATTGTAAATTTTGGTCAATGACATGAGACAAAGTATATGTGAACTGCTGTAAGAAAAGTGAATTTACTCTGTAAATCTTCACCCAAATCAAAATAAAATTAAAAAAAAAAAAAAAAACATAATTTGGCATTGAGATCAGATTTAGATGATCTGGATTCAAAGCATGGCCCTTCGTTCCGGACTGGTGAGCCAATCTGGCCAGGCAGACACGCTGCACAGGAAGCTTCATTTTTGGCTAAAGTGGGAAAGCTCTGGGCAGACATGTCAGAGAGGGCCATGCTTCTGCGCTTACATCCCCGACCTGTCTGAGGGACACGTCCCACCAGGTCTGGCATCCACTGACCAACAACCCTGAGTAACTCTTTAGACCTTCCTCGTAAATGAAGCAGAAAGCCGATAATTCATTTGCAAAGAAGTATAGAAGCAAAATTGGAGCCACTAATAGATGTGATCAGAAAAATCAAAATCACTTTGCAGATGTTGTTAATAATCACATTAACTATCCTACTTCCTCTCCATCCTCTTACCACACTCTCCTCTCTGATGTAATATTAAAGGTCATTTATTCTCAAATGCACAATTGTTGGGAAAGCGGGAGTACAGCTGGGAAAACTCAAGATACAAGATTTCACAAAACTTGTTCTCAGTGGGATTCAGCCAACTTTAGCCCTTACAGGTCCTCAGAGTATTCTGCTAAGACAACCTGAGGTCTCTGAAGCAAACTGGTCACTACACCCAGCATTCATTAGTCTTCTTTTTAAAAGCATAATGCTTTTAGGATTAACCCTACATTTTGGAGAGGGAAACAGCCAAATCAGTTTATGAAAAATGGCATAGCTCCACAGGAGAATCTCTGAAAGGAACTGAGCCAGATAAGTAAGAAACTGAAATTCCTAATGCTCATAGCCTTAACCATAGAAATTTGGGGAGAAATGGCAAGATTGAAAGGAAAGTAGAACTCTGGAGAAGATTAAGGAAATGTGGATTCTTGGGTGTGGGGAAAATCACAAGATCAGAAAGACTGGAGGAAAAGAAACAGTGAAAAATGTAGCGACTGGGTTGCTAAACTAGTAAACCATTTACCATCAAGGTGACATCGACTCCTCGTGACCCCATGGGTGTCAGAGGAGAATGTGCTCCACAGGGTTTCCAATGGCTGATTTTTTGGAATGAGATCACCAGGCCTTTCTTCCCAGACACCGCTGGGTGGACCTGAATCCAACCATTCAGTTAGCAGCCAAGCACGTTAACTATGTGCACTAGCCAGGGATTTCTGGTTATTGCTAGACGCCAAAAATAGTATGTAGCAATCAAGCAAAATGCTTTAATCGGTGCACAAATATTGTTTATTCACTGTCGATAGTATCCACTATCACTTACAGAGATCAAACTTCACAGGAAATCAGTATAGTGCAGAGCTGGTAACACTGAGTAAAGACATCAATGGGGGTGTATCTTCTAGCATGAAGGTGCTGGTGACAATTTGCAGAGGTCACCAGGAAGCAGGGACCCCTCTGAAGCTTCTGTTCATCAGGATGAGCTAGGCACTCATCTAGAAACTGCTACCTGTAGTTTTTGTTTGTTTGCTTTTTGTTTTTTTATTGTTATTGAAAATACATACAGCAAAACATACCAATTCAATAATTTCTAAACCGACAACTGACATTAATTGTAGTCTTCAAGTTCAAGAGGAGCAACCATTCTCACCTCCTTTTCCAAATTATTCCTCCCCATTGACATAAACTCACCATCCCATCTTGTCAATTTGATTCCATATCATCAGTTCTTTAAAAGAGCACAACCCTCAAGGCAGGCATTCCTTGCTAACAAGCTAAACTACCATTTGGGTTCAGGAGCTCTGATAGTGTAGTGCATAAGACACTTGACTCCTAACCAGAAGGCTGGCGGTTCAAACCCACCAGCCACTCCTCGGAAGGATGATGGGGCAATCTACTTCCATGGTGATACTGCCTTGGAAACCCAAGCAGAGGTTGCTATGAGTCGGGTCCAACTCAACAGCACAAACAACAACAACAACCATTTGGGTTAAAGACTTCAGAGGATAGTTTTGGTCTCCGGTATAAAGATTATCTCCGGGCAATAGTTCGCTCAGCCTCAACAGCTGCAGAAATACTGGATTACGTGGGAATTTGAAATTGTTCTTCATTTCCCCTCTTTTGATCAGCATTCTTCCATAGAATCTTTGAGCAAAACGTTCCATAATTATTACCTGTAGTTGTACACTGAGGCATAATTGAACTTGCCCCAGACAGCCTAAGGTCTTCTCTGGTCCAATGTCATGGTTGTTTGGTATCTACTGACCACACACTAACTATTTACAGGCCCATAAAAAGATGAATTAGAAAGAAAGAAAATGTGTAAGGAGTTGACTTTACCTGAAATGGTTTCCCAGTATTGGGTAGGTCAGCAGAGGCAATATTGAGAACAGAGCCGCAGCCGCCAAATCGTTCATTCTGACAGCCATACACCACCAGCGGGATTTCTGGGAAGGAGTTAAGGTCCTGTTTGGTTCAAGCAGGCTTCGTGACACAATCACGGTAGGTGTACACCAGCCACCCTGAAAAGGAAAGCTCACGCCTACCACGAAGAACAATTACGTTTCGGATTACTCTTAAAACTATCCAATCCAGTTACACAGAAGGGAAGGGGTTAAAGTATTCAGACATTCACATGACTAACAGGCACCAACTGAATGAAACGCGAGTCCCAGGCTCTGAAACTGTCACAGTGGTCACAGTGTGTGCTTCTTTGAGTCTCTCCTAAATCCTTTTTTTTGAATCATCAGAGGATTAGAGCCAGAAAGGAGGCAGACATTTCATCCAGGGATTTTTCCTTTTTAAAAATAACTGAGTACCTCCTGTCCTTTTCCCTAGTCAACTATAACCTGCGCCTTCCCTACACCCAAAAAAAGAAAGACTAAAGCTGAGGGGCTTGGTGAGCCAGGATGGGTGGGCGGACTTCAACATTGACACACACACACATACACCCTCAAGGCCTCTTCCTGGCCCCCAACCTCCGAAGGCAGATACGAAGCTCGCAAAGCTCTGGTTTGGTCATTTTATAAATGATGAAGAGGAGGTGCTACAGGAGGATGCGATGTGCCAAGCCAAGACCAAGACTCCTGCCATTCCTTCTACCACATTCCGCTGTCTAGCTAGGGAGACAAAGAGGGAGGAAGAAAACTATTCACTGCAAAAGCACGGTTGCTAAGGCTTGCTTCTGCCTATCCCTAGCATTTGAGGGAAATGTATGTAGGAGTCATTTTACACCCTGGGAGTTAAACCAGTTTGAAGACTATGCTTCTATTTTCAATCCACTTCCAGTCTAGTGAAATGACAGTTACTTCCCCAGCTGCTACCTGGCTCTGGTTAATCTGGGGTTCCCCTCAGCCTTGTCTGCCCTCTTTTTACACCTTGATGCACTTGGCTTCTCATTCCCTCAACAGCTATGTGAAAGGTGAACCCTCAGAAGAAAAAAAGGACCAATTTCTCTAGTCCAAGTAAGATGTTCTCTATGTCTCCTTATCTGTAAAATGGAGATAATAAACTTGATGGCAAACAACAACAACAAAAAAAGGATATATATTCACAGTATAACTATGAGATATAGTGAGTAAGCACATATAAACTGTTTAAAACACTTGCTTGCATAGAATTCAAATTAAACAAATACTGGATTGTTTGTTTTTTTGAAATTTAACACTGATAAACTGCTAAGTACTTCAACACATCCACCCCTTTGGGATTAGAACGGCATGAGAACTGATGTCTTGTACACAGGCTCAGAGAGTTCCCCACCCAGCAGGGACGAAGCATGAGGACAGCTGATACAAATGCTGTATTGTCCAATTAGCAACTGGGACTGGAACTCAAAAGTTCATGGCTCATGATTTCAATCAGGATACCGTACAGCAAGATTTTATCCATTCATACAACACCCAGGCACTGCACCCCAAATGATGTGCAAGGATAACTCAAGTATAAAGCAAGAAGATCTGGCTCTGGTTCTAAGTCTCCCATTAATAGGCTGCTTGGCACTGGATAAAACTGTTCATCTTTCAAGGTCCAGAATATGCTTTTTTTTTTTTTTTTAATTGTGATTTGGGTCAAAGTTTACAGAGCGAATTCACTTTCCACACAGCAGCTCACATACACCTTATCTCATGACATTGACTACAATTTCCCACAATGCAATAGCTCCCCCCCGCTTCCTCCCCATAGCTACCTCTTCCCTGTGTACTTTCCTCCATGCACTCCTGCCCCCAAGCTGGCTCCTGTGCATACATGGCCCTTCTATTCTCCCATGATTGTTCTCTCTGAGGAGTGTATCTAGTCAAGGTCCAGAATGCTCTTTATGAAATAAGTCTGATCTATCAGCTTGTAGGATTAATACCAACATTTAAAATAGAGGAATTTAGGGTTCCAGTTGGCTATAATTTCCTTTTTTACAAAGTATAGATTCTACATTTTATCATACTCAAAAATCTCTGATAATTTTGTTGTTAAAAATTTATCAATGCACATATAGCAAAACAAGTACTTGGAAAAATAGGCAAGTATGAAATTGAGTTTTCGAATTTTCAAATATGTGTTTCACAAACATCTTTAGAGATGAACCTGTTCCACTCAATATTTGTGTTATAGTTCACTCTGTGCAACCCCCAATCCAAAGAGCTGCCACTGTACCCACTTCCCATTTACCTACAGTTATAAATGATTCAGGTTTTTTACTTACTGACTTTTCAAACGAAGAGATAAAAAGAAACATTGCAAATCACTTGTATCTGCAGGAGCGCACTCTTCTGACCTTTTCCTATGCGAGCGCTTTACAATCTGCTCTCACCTAGTTACCCTACACAGCAGTGTGAGCTCAGTGCTAAGCGCTTCTTTCTCTAGCTTATTTGTATAACATGTTTATTGATCTAAAAATAAAAAGGTTGTTTTATTATTATTATTATTATTTTCCAAGGGACACACTATCTTCTAACATGACTCGCCTATGATTCGTTTCATAAATATGAGAATGGGTTCTACGTGTGACCTTATTCGTGTTTGCAGGGAGGGGACGAGACATTACCCCATTAAGTCCAAGGATACTCATCAGGCGGAGAGCAGCTGCACACATGATGCAGGGCTCCACAGTGACGTAGAGTACCGTGTGCTCAAAGACTTCAGAAGGGCTCTTGCCTCTGCAATGACACCAATCTAGGACCTGATCAATGGCCACCATTTCTGCATGCCGAGTAGCCTAGAATGAGAGAGGTGCTTGGATTGATACTTTTCCTACATGTAACTGCTATTTTACAAATAAATTCAACAAAAGGATATCTTTTTGTGCCTATCATTTCTGCCAACATTGTAATGAATAAAGGTTTCAGGACACTTGTTCTTGTTATGTGCCATCGAGTCAGACCCGACTCATAGAGACCCCTCCTTGGGTTTCTGAGGCAGTATCGCTACAGAACTAGATTGCGCAACCTTCCTTCCAAGGAGTGGCTGGTGGGTTTGAACTGCCAGCCTTCTGGTTAGCAGTCAAGTGCCTTAGGCACTACACTACCAGAGCTCCTTCAGGACACTTAGCAGTGGACAAAGTGTTCCTCTGTTCAAGTGCCGTAACTTCACCAACAAAACACACCTAATCTGAGCTGGTGTACCCATCGTGCTGTATTTTTAGTCAAGTATCTTAGGGTCTCAAGTACATCAGGGGACGCAGGAAGAGTACAGGAGATGTCACACAGTGCTTGGAATCAACCACACGTACTTTTGAATCCTGACCGTGACATTACTAATTATGTAGCTTTGGGCAAATTACATAAATTCTCTAAGTTCTGGTTTCCCTGTATATAAAATGGACTACAGTGACATAAACACACTTCTACAGTCTGCGTGGAACCCTATGGGGCAGTTCTACTGTGTCCTATAGAGTCACTATGAGTTGGAATCAACTTGATGGCAAAGGGTGCACCTCACAATGTAATCTGAATAGCACAACGCACCGTGCTACATAATGCTGTAATATGTCCTCTGTGAGCTCTCTCTCCCTTTCCTTTCCCCTAACCAATATGACACAAATCTTAGATATATGCAATAATTGCTTGCAATGTTCGAGACAATAGCACTTACCAGCAAACTCACACTGAGTGTTAACCATGTACAAAGCACTGGGCAAAATTCTGTGTCCTCAACAAGCATTAACAAGGAGGCAAACAGGAAGGCATTCAATTTGCCTGTGACACAGGGCTACGTGTGGAAGCACTACCACAGATGCCCCTGCTGCCACGGAAGCCAGAGGCAGATGAGTTGTGAACATCACAGAATTATAAATTCAGAGCTGCAAGGTGCTTTAGAGAAGAGGTTCCCAAACCTGACCACATACCAAAATCAACCAGGGAGTTTAAAAAAGAAAAAAACAATGTGGCCCCAACTTGAGAGCTTTTTGAAAATCAGATTCAGAATTTCTAAATCAGTTAACCCATATTTCTCAATAAATAACTGTTGAACTGAATCACCTCAGTCAACTCCCTGTTTTACTGCTGAAGAAACAGAATCTAGGCTGGGTTAAGATGGGTTAAAGACACACAGCAGGGCGAGGTAGTGGTGTAACAGGAGCCAAGAGTAGAACTCAGGTCTCCTTATGTAGGGTCAAGAGTCTTTCTAACCTGTGCTTACAGGGTAATCTTCTGTATGACACAGAATACCAAAATAAATTAGGGTTTATTTAAAGGTATAGAAGAAACCAAGGTCACTGAGGGGTTAAGATAGGTATTGACAGACTATTCAAAGTTCTTATGTAAAAGATATCATACCTAACCCCAAAATACTAACAGGAAGATACAACAATTATTTGAAAAGACAAAACTGCTCAACCCTCACAGAGTTCCATTCCCAAATAAGTATCTGTATATTCTCTAACTGCTGTACTGTGCTTATTATTCATCACATATACTTTGATATCCTCATGGTAATTTCCTGAAAGATCTGGTGTCCTACTTAGCACATCTTTTGCTGAGTCTCAGTTTTCTCTTCTATTTTGAAACATGTGATGGATGCCTTTGAAAGCTCCCAGCACATCAGCACCAACACTGGCTCCCACTGTACAACAAGATTGAAGTCCACTGAGTGACATTATAGTTATAAGCTATCCTGGAGTCCATCTAGTGCTTTTTCTTAAAAAAATCATAGAATGTGATACTTCACTTATACTTCCCATGTATACTTATCATTGTGACACATGACCATTGTGATACCAGGTTTGAGGAACATTACCTTCAATCTCGAGATCCCCAACCCAATTACAATGAATTAAAAGACAGAGGCTATTAGAGTGTCCACATGACCTGTAGGCACAGAGACATCTGATAACAGAGGCCTCACTCAGCTGTTCCCAGATAAACAGCTTCCTTGATACAAACCTTTTATTCCTCCAAAGATATGAATTGAGGATACTCTTTATATTTACTAGGATAGACACAATATTTAAAGGTACTAAAGGTACTAAAGAATGCTTTAGGAGCTCTGGTAGCATAATGGCTAAAGCACTTGACTGCTAACCAGAAGGCTGGCGGTTCAA